GACATGGCTCACCTCTGCCCTTTTTGAAAGAAAGCCCAAAGCGTTCTCAGATTAATGACAATGAAATTCACTGCCATTCTGTCACTCTGCAATCCTTGCTGACTGACATTATGACAAAACAGTATTAGCATAAACTGAGGACTTCAGTTCAGCTAATGACTTAAACTGAATGCTTCAACTAAGCAAATCAAGGAACAAATCCTCTACAGTCCAAAAAAATGATGTCTGTGGATATGTACAGTACAGAATTTCTGAAATTGGAAGGTACCAAAAAAAATTTAATTACCTATAAGGATGATTTCTAACAGAAAGGTATTACAATAAAAAAGCTAGTGAGTTCAAGAAATTTAAATGCTACAATATAATACTAATTTGCAAAATTTAAAAAGTTTCCATATTAGAACTGATGCTACAATTTGTTGCAGATTGCTTCTCAATGTTGCTTTTATTTATAAATCTGAAGAAAAACTATTGACTTAAATGTGTGTAAATCTGTTTCTATTTACTTATGTTTCGTGAATAATTTTTTATCTGTAGTTGACTGGTGCTTTGGTAAAATTGTGAAAACATTAGTTTTGTTTTCAGTTTTAGATGAGCAATGTCAATTATGTAATCAAACTAATAAAGGGGGTCCTATAAGGAATATTTTCTATCCTAAGTGATTATAATAAAAAAAGAAAAAAGACAAACAGTAATTTATAACAAAAAGCTTAAGATTATATATAGTGCACTGAACTGTCAATAAGGTACAGACAGCTCTTACTTGGTTGAATGGTCACACTTACATTAAAATCAGATACTTGGGGCCAGTAAGATGGCTCAGTAAGTAAAGGCACATGCCACCAAGCCTAACAATCTGAGTTTGTCCCCAGTTATCTACAATGTAGAAGAGAAAACAAACTTCTGCAAATTGTCTTCTGGCCTCTATAATGCAGTGGTATATATACACCTGCATACATGTACACAATATAAATAAAATGTAGTTATTAAAAAATAGCTACACTCACACAATAGGATTACTGGGTGACCAAGAAGTGTAGCTATACCTAGGAGCTATTTTACTTTTTGTGATTGTTTTAGACAGGGTATTGTGAACTCTGTTCTTGGTGCATGGCATAGACTCTGCCATCCTGAATCAGAGGGGCTGTGATTATGTGCACTAGACTTTCACATGATTGCATGCATTATCACTATCTCAGAGACGAGGAATGGTTCCAAAGGCAGTGTACCAGAGACCTGGATCCCAGCTCTTCCCCAGTATTTACACACAAGTAACAGTTGTGTGAGTGATGGGTGGGGGAAGCTTTTCTTCCATGTTATAGTAGTTGGTAAGCTTCCTCTGCTCCAATAGGTAACTAACTCCTCATTCATGCCCCTATTTATAACCCCAATTAAACTCACTGGTTAGTCAACATAGACTTGTGTGAAAGAGTTACCTTGATTGTAGTTGGTGCTCATCTGGGGTAACAAATTATTTGTTCGTTATCTTCCTAGGGAATCTAATACAACGCAGGGTCTTAGTAGCCCAGACCAACTTGTCACATAGCTGAGGACAACCAGAACCGTTGAGCTTCCTGTTTGTGTCCCCTAAGTACAATTCAGATATATGCCATAAAGCCTGGAAGATTGTTGTCTTGTTGTTAAAATTCAGTGCTTGTGTTAAAGGAAACCTTGAGAATTCTGATGAACAATTTTTGAAAACTAAAAATGTCAGCTGAAATACACAAAACGTCTTTTGAAATAAAAAGTAAGTTATGAGATATGTATGTCAAGATACCCAAAAATTTGGTAAAAGCCCAGGAAGACTTAAAAACTACCTAACTTTGTCCTGAATAATTTTGGTGATTCTAACTGAGGAGTATAGAGAGACATAGAACTGTGGTTTCCGTAATAAAGGGAAAACTGGTAAAAAAGAGGTCATAGCCAAAGGCTTAATTCATAATAGGATAAGACTTAGAAGGTTCCACTCTGAGAATGAGAAGGAGTAAAAGAGTATTACAAATATTCGAGGCTTGTTTCATTTGGGCTATGCAGAGTGCCTCAGACATGGACATTGGCTTCAGGTCAGTCCTCACTGGTAGAATACCCAGACCCTTGGCAGAAGTAAAGAATACTCGCTCTCTAAACAAGGTATTTTGGTTTTTGACAAACTATTCTACAAATGGTTATTAAAATGGAAATTAAAACAAGTCATAGGAGAGAAAATAAAAGACATAGAGGGAAAAACACATACACAAGAGACTGGGGAAATAATAATACAGGAAGATCCAAAAGGACCTCATACATGGGAATAAGCAGAACTGGCACAGATGATAAAATTACTATTATTATAATGCTCAAAGGAAAAAAGTGAAACATGTGTAGTGTATTAGAAACCATAAAACAAACAAACAAAAAAAGAAAACCATGTCACAGCAGGAAACATAAAAGATTTTCAGTTGAGAAGTACAAAACTTAAAAATACAGTCGAAATGTTTAGCAACAAAGTAGACACAGGTGAAAAGAATTAGTAAGCTAAAAAAGTTGATGAAAACAATGTATTAGTAATTTTAAAAGTTCAGCAGCATTCCACCCCCATAAAAATGCATGACAAGAAGTACTGTAAGGTTAGCAAACAGCAATAATCAGATCACAGGAAATATTTAAAAGAAACTGGAGACTATATGGACTTAATTCTTTAAAAAAAATTGGCTTCATGTTTGTTTGCCACCAGAGCTCTCTTCCTTAACAAACTACTGTTTACTTGTCCCCAAGGAATGTATTGCCTAACTGTTAGTGATGGCATCATAACTATCAGTTAGGATGGCCTATTAAGATGAATAATAGTATGGCATTAAAAAAATGAAAACCTACAAAAGTAGATTAAGCTTGACCTAGCGGATGACAGAGAATATCATAAACTATAGCAAAACCACATTCTTGCAACCTGATTTCCTTTAGGACCAGAACGAAATGCTCACTAAATTAAAGAAAGAAGAAAAACATACTATTTTACTGAAACTTACTATTAAAAACACAGACTAAAAAGAAAAAGATCCAAACATTAGAGAAGATAGATGAGAGAATAAAAGAAATAATTAAAATGTGTAGAACTAAAGACATAAGAAAAGAAAATTAGGCAATAAATACCAGAGGCAGACAATTCTGAAAGGCAAAAGGCAGGTAATATTTACTACAATGCACTCAAAATATTACCTGTTTTTTTTTTTCTTTATACCATCATACAATTTTAGTACACAAAACAGTCGGCAATTTTCCTCCTTCACCTACTTTAGATAACAATATTAATGGTATCCCTCCTTGTCAGATTATTGAGACAGAATTCATCTTGCTATATACACAGCGTACTAAAGGAGGATTTCATTTCATTGTTGTCTAAGACTTATAGATCCCCTGTCACATCACTAGATCCATCTCTGCAACACACTACTATACGTCCATCTGTACATGTACAACTACTGAATACAATATGTAAATATTTTAAACATATTTCAAAGCTTTTTTCTTATGGCTGAGACTGAAAACCTTTTCTATACTTTGTAGCCAACATGACACAGTAAATGACTTGTGTGTTTTAGAAGTTGCCAGAGAGGGGTAATAGTCCAATTCAGCGATGAAAACGGTGTGGGAAAGATGGTCAGTGCCTGCCTGGGTTTTGACAATAGAGAAATGCAATGTTTTTACAAAATTGAAAATTTTCTTTTGCTTTTGTGGGTTAGTATTTCTATTCACAATTTTAAAAGAACAATAGTTTTACTTCATAGGTTATTGTAAGGAATATGAAAAAATGTATAATAATGTTTCCAAGAGTAGCATGCATATAAGAATAAAAATTTCATTCATTTTTAAATTTTCAGTGTTTAATGAATAGATTCAACATTTAAAGCCCACAAGTTGCCATTTAATAATCGGTTTTCATTTCCCACTTGGTTTATAGTTTTATTCATTAAAATGATGTATTTGTGTTATGAATATAAACATTACTGTGTATTTTCTGTTGCAATGTGCTTTCAAGTTTATCCCTACTTAATAAAAATTTTTTTTAGTCATATAGCTCAACTAAAAGTGGCTGGACAGTATATCATTAATCTATGTGATGTGTTTTTCTTTAGTATCATTTACCACATCTTTCAATTACATATTCATTTATATTTATTTTGAAAAACAGCTTACTGATTTATTACACTCAATTTTCCAGGATATTCTGAAAATCAATCAATCAATCAGTTTCTAATCAATGTGTTACAAATTTCAATGCAGGTAAAATCTACTCATGAAGAAATGCTTCAGTAAGTTATCAACATCTAGTAAGTTTTAAACACAAGCAAAACTTTTATTGCGGGACTCTCCAAAACTGCATAAACTAATTTTTTGAAGCCACAATTTCCGTAAAAAAAAATGTAATGTTTAAAAATAAGGTAATTAGAATGCAAACTACAGACTACAATTCCTGGATATTATGTCTAAAGGAGTGATGAAGAATCTGCCCTCTATGGACTGTTACCATACAAGTAGACAAACTACACAGCAACCAGTAACATAATTGGGTTCAAATGTTTTTCAAGGAGTTCAAACTATAAAAGGAAGAGGAAAACATATGCTATTTCAAAAATGAATATCCCATAGTATCTGTTCCCTGGATTGCTTCCAGGACACAGCATAGATTTCAAAACATACAGATGCCAAAAATCTATGGATGCTCAATAATCTTACATAAAATACTCTGATGCCTGCATATACTTTAAATCCTCCCATATGCTTCAAATCCTCTACAGATCACCTATAACTAATACAATCTAAATGTTATGTACATGATTGTTATACCATACTGTTGAGTTAATGATAAGACAGTCTGTATATGTTCAGTAGATGTGAAACTTTTTCTGAATATTTTCTATATGCATTGGGTGAATTCATATTTGTGAAACCAACAGATAAGGAGGGCTAACTTTGCTTTTTCCATAGATCATATTCTTATTTTGTAAAATAACCCGACTTACATCATTAGACTTGCTTTTTTCCTTGTGAGAATATATAGTCCATTCCAAAAGCATATTTACTGGTTTTGTCAGAAGTCCTGAAGTTTCACTTCCTGACCAAAAGATTTCAAGAACAATTGCCTTTTCTGTTCCTTTCAGACTCTGGGAACCTGACCAGTCACACAACCTAATGAAAATATAAACAAAACAAAAAAAAAATCAATTACCATGCCAATTAATCATGGCAGTTATTAGACCTATTCTGATAGGACAAGAATGCCACCAATTTCTGAGAATGGTGATAACATATATAAGATTACAGTACAACAGAGCTATAATAAAGGACCAACCATTAAAAAATAGCCTCATGGGCTGGGTATGTCACACTAAGCAGGCATTGTGGAGGACACTTGGGAGTCCCAGTATTGGAAAGGAGAGTCACGCAGGCCTTTGGGGCTTACTGGTCACTTCTCTGTGAACTACAGGACAATGAAAGACCCCTCTCTCAAAAAATAACATGTATAATATTCCCGAGGAATGACTCCTAGGTTGAACCTTTGGTGTCTATATATGTGCACATATGTGCACTGATGCATATACATGAATGTGCATAGAAAAATGGTCTCAGTTCAGTAAAAATCAGTACACAGGGCATTTAGGAATATATATATATATTCCTAAATACATATATTCCTAAAACACATATTCTTCCAAATGAAAAGAAAATATGAGCCAAAGAGAAAGAAAAGGGATATAAGCAAACCGTCACTGCCACAGGGTTGTATCTGAAAACTGAAACAAAGCCTAGACAAAAACACAAATTAGGAGACTTCTTAAAGACAGATATATTATAACCGTAAGTTTAAACAACAGAACTATAACAAAGTTTTCCTTGTTATTAACACTTACTTTTGAATCAAATGCCGTACTTCACTTTCAAATAAATTAAAGAAAAGCTTGAGCAATGTAAGATGGACCACCTTTGAACCAATATTTTCTGATATTTGATGACAGAAACCTTCGTTGAAAAGGCAAGACCTGAAAAATATGAACCCAACAATATAGTTCATAAAAATAAAGTTGGTGAATAAATTGTGGACAAAATTATTCTTTTTAAAGACTTTACAATTTTTACAAAACCTACAAAAAGTTTAAGACAAGCTCAATAAAATGTTCTTAATATTTTCTTCCTTTAAATTTCTATCACATCAAATATGAAAGCTTGAGTTCTTTTTTGTTGTTGTTTTGTTTTATTGTTTGTTTGTTTTTCAAGACAGGGTTTCTCTGTTCACCCTGGCTGTCCCAGGGGAACTCCCTCTATAGACCAAGTTTGCCTTGAACTCAGAGATCCACCTGGTTCTGTCTCCCAACTGCTGGGATTAAAGGCATGAGCCACTACCACTTAGCTAAGATTTAGTTCTTAACACAAATCTAGTTTCTCTAGCCTCAATATAGTATCTAGCAACCATCAGCACTGTCTTTGTGCACTTCATTTCACCTTTAAGAACAAAGACACCACTATGGTCTCAGTATTCTTCATTACCCATGATTATTTTTATTTCCATTATCTAATAAATGAGGGTAAATGGCTTCACAGTTACAGTTTTCAAAATTGAATATTTTAGCTGTATTTTGTCATGATCACAGAACTTTAAATGATGACTGCTATGTTCTACTACACACCTAAATTTGGCTTGTTCTATAGTAGACTGATATACACACACAGTAAATAAACAAATTTGTTAAACTTTCTAAGTGTGGATATTTCTGACGGCATGTATGCCTGCATACTGTGTGTATCTGGTGCCTGAAAGGTCAGAAGCAGGTTAATGACATTGGATCCCCTGAAACTGAAGTACAGAGGGTTGTGATCTATCATGTGGGTGCTGGGAATGGAACCTGATTCTCAACAAGAGCAAAAACTGTCTGAACCACGGAATTCTCTCTAGCCCTGCAGTGCATTTTTACAGAGAAAGCAAGAGCACTAATAAATTCTAAGACTTGCAGAGACAGAAATTAGGCAATGGTATTTATTAATTAACTCCAAATTTTCTTATCAATAATACTGTTGCTTTTTATTTCTGCCTCCAGTTTCCTTGACTTTGTATGTTTACGTGCATAGATGTTTGTGTGCATGTGGAGAACAGAGGTTGCTATGAGATATCTTCCTCAATCACTTGCCACCTCCATTTTGTAATAGGGACTCTTTCCACCCACCAAGACAGGTCTACCTGCATCTGCCTTCTGAGTACTGGAATTAAAGACATTCGGTGGCACCACCACACCCAGCAAAATAGGGACCAACGAATCCCTGAACTCTCTTATGCAGCAAGACTAGTTGGTCAGCCAGTCTCAGTGATACTCCTGTTTCTGTCTCCCCAGTGCTGGGATGACAAGCATACTATCACCACACCAGTTTTTTAAAAATAAGTTCAGGGGACTGAACACAGGTCCTCATGCTTGTGTACAAGCACTTTCCTGACCCATACTCAAGTGTTTATAAATTACATAGTCCCAGTTATTTTGCAACAAAACCTGGGTTCTCAACAAATGTAACAAAGGTCTAACCTTTGCCTAGATACTCAAGTGTCTTTTCTCTCTTATATGAAGAGCATTTGTGGCTACATTAATGAAAAACTCCTTCCAATAAAGGAAGACTATCAAAGTTTTAGTAGAAATCATAAATTAGTAATTATTTTAGCTAGAGGAGAGAGAATGGGAAGTTCTGGAAACAGAAGATTAATGACATATCTAGGAAACAATAAGTACTGATTTAAAAATACAAATTTCTAATTGTTACATTGACAAATATATTATTCTTTTTATAACAAATTTGGTGCTTATATTCAATTTTTCTTTCAAAAATACACAAATTCATAATTTTGGAGAAACTTTAAAATTTGCTATTATTCTGTTTTGTATACCTAGTTTTTTTTTTAAAAATCCTGACAATCAATATAAAATTTGTTCTTTTTATAACTTTTGCAAAAAAAAAAACCCACAAGCATCTGTATTTTTTTCTAAAAATATACTTTTTAAAATCAGTGTCTAGAAAACAGTAAAATGTCCTCCAATGTGAAATAACTTACCTGACAAGCACTTCTACCAGAGACCAGGCTCCTTTCCTACAGGTTGGACACTGAAATAACTCTAAGTAGTATCTTAACATGGCTGGTGATTTCCAAGGAGGATGCAGATGAAGAAGAGCTGATAATATATGAAAGTATCGACCAGAAAATGTATCTATGTTATCCTATTATTTAAAAATAAACAAAATAAAATACTGTAGCTAACAGTTTCATCACTTAATTTAGTTTCAAACTAGAGCAGTAATTCTAACCTACTGTGAGTAGACAATTGTATAAGTTTGAAATAACAAGGAGGAGTTATCATGCAGATCTACATAGCAGAAAATGTTAAGTATTAGGGGTAGGATATGTGAAATTTTCTTAAGGATGATAGTAAGATTAAGAATATCAAAGAACATTCTAAAGGAAGACAAGGTGGAAACTCTTCACGTACCAGTCTTATGTGTATTAAACATTACTACAGCATGGTTTATCTTTGCTATAGTATAAAATCAGCACCCTGTTGAACACGATAGAAAGCTACTTCTCCATAGATACTAGTAACTTTTCTACAAACTACATTCACTTAATCTGTATACCACAATTAAAATGACTATTACTAAAAGCATTTTAGCAATCAGATACCACAATCTGACATTTATGTCACTTTACAGACACAGAAAAAAAAGGTAACATTTTTCTTTTTTATTGAACAATATTTTTAATACAATATATTCTGACCATCTATTTTTTAATAGACTAAGTCATTCAGAATAACTGGGTACTACATTTCTTAGTAAAATGAGATTTAAAGAAAAATCACAATGTTCACGTTTTAGCATTCTTAATGAAAAAAAAAGATTCTAAGTGCACAGGGAATCCTTACCTGTAGGACATTCTCTAGAAGGGTGTGGAGAAGGCACACAGGAGGGACATAATGGGCTTGCAAAGAGCAAAGCTCTTCAATGGCTTCTTTAAAGAATTGTCCCTCTATGAGGCTTTCAATTAAGTTTAATATTCCTCTGGGGAGCTCTGCATTCTTAACCTAAGGAAAAATAATTTTATGTCTGAAAGAAGAAAAGTTTAACTCTGAGATCAGCTCTTGAATGAATAAAGAGCTTCTGTTTCCTCATCTATATGTAGGTGATTACTGTCCTTACTACTTGAGAGATTGCATGACTCTTGAACTTTTCTGGTCCCAAGCAAGTCATAAGCACTACTGTGTTTCATAACTAGAAGGTTCTTGAAAAACCGAACGACAACAAAAAACTAGAAGGCACAGCAAAGTGCTATTAGCTGTTTCTTAGTTTTCATTTCCTGAAGTAGTAAGATAAACTATTCCTCTGAAAGAAAGTCTTAAACAGGAAATATTTGCTGTATAAACCGGAGGATGTCAGCTTTTAACTGGAACCATTCTAAAGACCACATGGAAGAAAAGACTCCATTTAAAAACAATGAATGGCAATAAATAAATGAAATATTTTGGAAGTATTGGATCAAGAATTTAACACAAAAGTAGTAATTATAAAAGGGATGAAATATGAAAAAAGTATATACTTCACAGCACTATTGACAGATGTGTTGAAAAGTTTTTTTGCAACATAATAATGCTTCCCCACCCCATTTCTGCTTATAAGTAATACATTACCATAAATCAAAATAACTAAAACTTACACTTCTTTTTTGACCCAAATTACCATCCAACTCCAAGCCCCTTACCTCTACATTGTATACAGGCTGTTTATCTATTCTAATGCAGTTGTATCGTACAGCCTACAAAACAACAACCATGTAATTAAATTTAATAGTTTAAGTTGAAAAATATATTTCAGCTTACAAAGCACAAAACCTTGGCCAAACATTCAAAACAGATTCAGGAACACATTAATAGCTATAATTAATCTGATACTCATTCTGGCTCAAATTAGTAACTATCATTATTTTAGGGTAATAGCATTCTCATGAATAGACCAATTCTATTGTCTCCTCCTCAATTAAAATAACTTCAGGTCGTTTTCACTTTAGATATCTGAAGTTGTCTATTGTCCTTAGTACTTTAATAATTAAAGATATAAATGCAGAAAACATTTTATACACAAGTCTAGTGGGGAGAAAAAAGCAACTAAAGTATTCCTAATAATTACACATAAAAACTTCTTGTATTATTTTAAAAGACCTGTATTTGTAAATTTTTAGAAAATAATATAATGAAAAATATCTGCAATGAAATATAAAAGATAAATAACATCCCAATTCAAGAAAGTTCTATAAAGATACTCGCAATACAATAATTGCTAGTGAAGCTATAAAATACATTGAATCTTGTTACTATAAGGAGTTATAAATTCAAATGATAATTGGCTTCTACTCTAGACATAAAGGTAGAAGAAGAGGGTTCTTACTGTAGCAAGAAAAATGTTAATTACCTGTTCTTAAAGCCCTTCTTAAAGTCAGAGATGCAAAGCTGTAGTCAACAAGCTAGCCTGAAGTATCAGACTCCAAGTACCCACCAACACACAGCACTCTTTAAAGACCACCAGTGTCTGGATTAAAACAACCCATAATTCACACACACTTCCAGTAACTCCTATCTTACTACAGAAAGAGTTTTAGTGTGATAAGCATTACCTGAGCTCTATATACGTCTCTGTATATCTGTTTCTTTAAGGCATTTTTTATTTCGGTGAGACCCACGTTTGTCTTGACATCCTTGGATTTTGAGTCAATGGCATAATCAGTAAGAAGAGAATTCATTTCTTTCTGCATACATATAAAAAACTTTAGATACTATATTAAAGACAGTACTCAACACAGATAAAAATACAAGACTATAGAAAATCCACTTATATTTTGCAATGTTTTCCTTGCTATTTACATTTGTGATTTGTTTTTAAAGCCCACACAGTGATGTCAAGACACTGCATGCCAGGCAAATGCTGGACCACTGAGCTACATCTTTTGCACCTTAAAAAAAAAAATCATTTAAAGTTATCATAAAACCCAAGTCTAAACACAAAATTAATTGATGTTCTTTATGCTTCTTATATACATAAACTGAAGATAATTTTATACACAACTGAAGTATACCTAGCCTGTTCTGACTGACCTATAACATGAGCTGAGGCATAGACTTTCTACTTTAAATCCGAAGTTTTCAATATCATGTGTCACTGAGAAGCACGTGTTCCCAAGTATTTCAAGCTTTTCATGTTTGGATTCAGAATGTTCCATCTATATACACATGCTGTGACTTGGACTTAATATAAAGTTACATTTTAGAAAAAGCTTATCTAATGAAATTTTGTTTGAAATACTATTTTATTATACAAGGTCTGTATTCTACCAGAGAAGAACAAAATTGGAAACAATATTCAAATTTGAAGAACTACTACAAATGGTGTTTACAGTGGTGTTTTCCACTTAAAAAAAATTCTTCCACAAGGGTGATCCCACCAAGAGTCAATGAGCACCTAAACAAAAACTCCAACACCAGATATGACAAGCCCTCTTCTGAGCTGTTGGCTAGGGTTATGCAGGGTACTCCCCCACCAAAAAAAAAAAAAAAAAAAAAAAAAAACCCCCCAAAAAAAAAAAAAAAAAAAAAAAAAAAAGCCCCCAAAACAAACAGCTTACTCCTATTGCCCTTGTTACCTGCATCCTGCAAGAGGTGGATAGATGGCAGGTATCTATTGCTGAAGACACCATACACTGCAGAAATTCTATGCAAGTTTCAAAAGGAGGGAGGCAACTAACAGTCCTATCTAGCCATGAAGCCCATGAACCACAACAACAAACAGATTGACACAATAATCTTAGGATGCAGGAATGGCATGCATACCATGGCAGGAACCAGCAGCTTTCTATTTGGACTTAAGACCCTCTCAACAAGAGGAAAATTGTGCATGGTATGGAAAACCTACCCAGTGCTAGTGAAGTCAGGGTTATTGGAGAAGAATCTATAATTATAATTCACTAAGTCAGCATGATGCCAACAGCAATCTATTTGTTCTTATACCTGCAGACAGGGGTGGTCTTTACCTCACATCAAGGAAACTTCTCTTTGTGACAGACAGGGACCACTACAGAAACCCACATGCCATCAATATGCCAAGTTGTAGAGCCCAGTCCCAATGGATACATCTATAATATATGCACCTAAGGCTCAGGGAACTTGGGAGGAAGAGGAGCAAGAAAGATTTTTAAGAGTAAGAGGAATCAGAGAGTTTAAGTGAGGCTGTGTCTCCAAGTAACATCAGAAGCTACACCCATTAAGTTTCATCAACTTGATTGTCTAAACATGAGCTGAACAAGGAAGTCACCAATCCAACATGCCAAAGTAGATGAGGGAAACACCATGGAGCCACAATCCTACAGAAAGAACTTTAGGCAACTGAGGAAAGGTGGGAGTGGATGAGACGTTCTTCCCCAGGGAGAAGTACACCTATGACTTGTCCAGTGCCAACAGGTCAACCATAAAAACATGTATGCAATAAGTAACATTATATGGACTCAACAGTTTATAGTTAGGAATATATATGTACTGTGAATACATATATGTGTGTGATTATTACTGAATAATGGTGAAAAAAATAGTCATGAACTTGGAAAAGAATAGGGATATATAGGGAAGAAGGAAAACATGTTGAATTTATATTACAATTTCAAAAATTAAAAAAAAAGTTAAAAGAAATTTACCTCTCTTCTAGATCATTTTTTTCTTTTCCTTTTTGTTTATGAAATACAACTTAATTTAAGAATCACAGTCAGCCAAATTTCCTTATTTATATTAATATAGAGTTTTACTATAGACCAAAGTTAATTATATTATAATGTGTATAATATAATAAATGTATATAAGTAAAATAATATATATAAAAGCAAAATATAAGTATATCATTAAGAATTGTTCAAAAGTATATAGAATTTAATACAGCGAGCATCTTTATTAAGCACATCCACTGGCTAGACTACAAAAAAAGAAAACTTAGAAACACATATTCTATAGTCTCACCTGATCTCTGTAATGCACATGCTTTTTTAAAGTACTTCTGATTGTGTCATGTTCATCATCAGTTTTGTAATAATCTTCTTTTCTGTTCTTTTTCCTCAAAATGTAACTTTTATGGACATTCTTATGTTTTTTCTTAGTTTCTTTCTGTATTTTACCACAATTAAACAAATCAGAATATGCATTAAACGTTACAAAATCCAAATAAGCTGGGGGGGATGACAAAATAAACATGACACATTGATCAATAGAGCTCTATGCACAAGAAAAGCTCTCCTACAGACAAGTGTGTATATGTTAGCAAAAAGCATTTGGAAAAACAGAAGAGCATCATGAACAACAGGTGACATATTGTCCTGATGACAATAACTTCATTTCTAGGAATACATTCTCAGCTAGAGAAATCCATAAACCTGTGTACTAAGAGTCACGCAAGAGAATACTAATTATTTATACAAGAACTGTTAGATAATCTCAAAACAACCAATCAACCACAAAGAAACAAAAAGAAAACCGAATGCTTGTCAACAACAACAACAAAATGGATGAAGTTTAAAACTGCAACACAATCAAACAACAAAACATATAGGTGAGGAAAATGTCCATAAATAGTGTGACCTAATAAATGCTCATTAACAAGCAAAACTAAATACCACTTTAAAACAAAACACACACACACACACACACACACACAAAAGGAAAAATAATATAAGTTCTAAAATAAGGAATACTTGGAATACTTCCATGTGAAATGGAAAAGATACAGTTAGGAAATGACACAGAGGTGGCTTGAAAATTGGGGAAGACTGATTCTTTCCTTGGCCAAGGAGTTGATAAATTGGCATTCTTCTTCCTTTAAAATTGCTGCATAAATGTCTTATAACACTTCTGTACAAGTACTTCCTAAGAAGTTTCATGACTCACATTGTATTTAGTAAATTTAGAAAGGATTTATAACATAAAAGGAATATTTTTGTGAAAACTTACCTGATTCTCATGTACATGTCTTCTAAATGTATTTCTCTTTTTAACAGATTTCATATATTTTCTGTAGTCTCTGAATTTTTCTTTATTGTGATGTTCACTCAGAACAAATCTGTCATTAATATTTTTGTCATGATTTTCCATTTTGTTCTGTGTGATTATAAAATTAATTATACTGAGTTAATATAGGTTCAACACAACTAATGGAAGTCACACAAAATTTTAGAAAGGCAGGTTTTATACAGCACACATGAGAGTAAATTTAAAATGTAAGGTGAATTTGAATCCACTCTAGTTATACAAAAAGGGCTAAGAAAACATATGCTTTAGTTTACCACATTTTATAAAAAGTAACTTACTAGATATACTTACATAACCTGCCTATTTAATTTAGAGTATGAAGTATTACTATCTCATTTCTTTGGGACATGAGAAATTTCTGTTAATTTTATGTAAAATCTCCTACATTTACTTTGATAATTTCCCCATCTTTTGCAAAATTTATCTATTTTTATATATTTAATAAAATTTAATAAAATGAAATCTATTTTGATAACATTATCATTTTCCATTCCTTACTGTATGTAATATTCCTTGCTGTATGTAAAACTGTTCAAACTGAATTTGGAATGACTATTTTAGACATACCAATTCAATAAGCCTTACTAAACATCACCCAAGATTACAGAAGGAAGTTTTAAAAGGCACACAGATACCACTGCATTCAGGAGTAGGAGCAAAAAGGCTAAAGTATTTTAATCTTTAGTTAAACTCCTCATGTGATTTTAAGAGACTACAAATTTAAAAAACTTCTAAATTGTACCTATCTTGAACACAATGAGTTTCTAACTACACATAAAAATGTTTCAGTTTAGAAAATAGTTACTGAATAACTGATCTGATAAACTAACAAAATAAATACACTTATTACATACAGTATTAAATGAGCATCAGCTTTTCTTCAGTAGAACCAATGAGGTTTTTCATTGTTGTCTATCATTAATGTCTGTGAAACATGTCACAACAGCTGCAGTCGCCCTAGTGTTTTTGTTTTTTTCTCCATGTTAATACAAATTAATTTGTTTCAAACTGTTATATGATAACTTTAGATTAATTATGAAGAGAGTGCTCACAGATGAGGAAAAGTCCTCTAAGGCTGGTGCCACATGAAGCATATAGAAGTTTTAAGTAATTAGCATGCATTGAAACTATGCCATGTTTGAGGAACTCAACAATTCTCTAGGCACATATGCATTATTTCAAAGCGCCCCCAAACACAGACTTACAAAAACTTCCATCATGCTCAATTCATGGCCTAAAAATATAAGGTTGATATGCTAGTTTTCAGATCCCAAGGTTTACCAAAAATGGGCTCTCTCTTACAATTATTTAGGAAAAATCAGAGAATGTTTAACTCATAAAACTTTACCTGGATTCTATACATGCTCTCTCCAGCAGCTTTCATTTCAAGAGATCCTGAGTCTTTCTTAAAATCTTTGCTTTCTTCTTGATTGCTGTATTTGGTCCAACCAGAACTGGTTTGGGAATCTTCATCATTCTGAATTTCTTTCTGTATGTGATTAAAAAAATACATTAACTAGGTATAATAATGCTAGTGTGAATATTTATTGTATTTTATGGACTTCAACTTAATATATAATTGCATATACTTTCTGAGCAAGTCCTCCTAAAACAAAGGAAAATATTTCAAGGAACCAATACAGCAAATTTTTTAATAATAGTGATTTCTGTATCACATACACACACACACACACACACACACACACACACGAATGCTTTGGCTAGTAACTGCTATTTATTGAGGAGTCAAGGACAAAACTATTCTATATAGCCTTATATGATTAAGATTACAACTCAGATATTAAGAATTATCCATTTATGGTCAGGCTGCCTTGTCAAACAACCCTGTGTATGAGTCATCTAGGACAAAAACATTTTACACAGGCCTATGCAAACTAAAGTTACAATTCAGGGCTGGTGAGAGCTCAGCCAGTAACTTGTTTGCCATGTAAGCATGATGGCCTGTATTCAATCCCTAGAATCAAGACAAATAAAATAGCCTTGTTTGCTGACACACACTTAGAATCCAACATTTGGAAAGTAGAGATGGGTAGATCCCTGGAGCTTGCTGGCCAACTGGCATAGTTTACATGATAAATTCCAGAAACCCTGTCTCAAGAAACAAAAATCAAAGAGAGAAAAAAGCAGAAAATGCAAAAAAAAAAACCCAAACAAACAAAAACAAAACCCAAAACAAAAAACAAAGCAACAACAACAATAAAAAAAACTCCACAAAATAAACAACTAAAAAAGGTGGACTGTTCTCAAGGGATGATATTCAGGGCTAACAGCTAGCCTCCACACAAGGGTGCCTCTACACTCGAAAGTGGACTTGGGTACACTATACATACCTACACACAAGCTCCAATCTAGATTTAAAAATTGTCAAGTTGCTGACAGATTGTTTACTTTTTCAGTCTTTCATTGATAAGATCTTTCATTTGCAGGATAATCCAGCACCTATCTTACAGAACAGCAACAAAGAGGATCACCTTGACCTTCTGCTATTGCAGACAAAGTGTCTTGAAAAAAAAAAACAAACAAACAAACAAACAAAAAACTGAATTGAGTCCATAAACCATTTTCTAAGTCTTTAAAAATATCCATGTAATTATACACATAACGTGGTAGTCAGATAACAAGCTAAAAGCAAAGGTGAGCTCATGATGGTTCCCAAGACGTCTTTGTGAAATGCCCACAGATTCACAATTGCACAGTAACAGTGAAAGACCAACATGTTAGGCAACAGTTATGATGGAATCTAAACTGTCTGTCACACTGTTTCTCTTACTTGTGGGGACTCCCTCAGTGAAATCCTGAGTGAAATGTGTGCTGTTGACATGGACACAGTCATGTCAAGAACCTATAGGCTCAGGGATGGAAAAGCTTCCTATGGGTACCATATACAAGTGGAAACAGTGTGTCCAGAAAATTCACCGGTAGACTTTCCCCTTACAGATGTTTACAGCCTGAAGACTGCTCCCCTATAGAGTAGTCCTATAGAGATTAGCTAAACCTGCCCCTTTGATCAAGCTATAAACTATACACTTGCTTCCTTGCTTTTCTGTATGCAATAACCCTACCTCCTTGTTCAGCAGTATGCAAAATCCTACCTCCCTGTTGAACTATACATAATAAACATGCTAAGCTTCAGGGGTACTGTGACTCCGTCACCTGAAAGCCCAGACCACCCAATCTCCAGGTTTTCTGTGTTCATCTGTCCACTATTTCTTCTTTTCATCAATGTCCCCAGTGAGGTCCACATTCCATGAGCCATGCATAAATGTGGCTTTTTGAGGAACATCTGAAGATGTTCTCTTGCCTACCTATGAACACACATGAACAACACACACACACACACACACACACACACACACACACTTGTGCACAAGATCTGTGCAAGCTCCAGCCAGACAATATCTCAGTACTGTTGATTTAACTTAGAAAGTCTTTGTGTTTCCCCTGCTATTCTGATTTTTGTTAAGTTTCCTACAAGTCATTTTAATTCCCTTCTTATAAGGAAATTTCAGTATGCATGACATGTGTGAGCACGTATGCCTGGGTGTATGAAATATGTGAGCATGCATGCCAGTGTATATGAAGTGTGTGAGCATGTATGCCTGTGTAAGCACAGGTGTCATGTGTAGAGGTTAGAGGACACACTTGGGTGTCATCTTCACCTTCCACCTTGTTCAGACAGGATCTCTTATTGTTTGCTCCTGTGTATGCTAAGCTAGCTGGTTCATGAGCTTCTAGGGATAGTCTTATCTTAATCGTCCATCTCACCACAGGAGTCTGGATTCACAGATGTGTGCTATCATGTTAGGCTTTATACAGGATTCTAGAGATATGAACTCAGGTTCTCACAATTTGTGCATGGAGCCATCTTCCCAGATCTCTTAGTTTCCAAAAAAGTTTAAGCATTCCAAAGTAACTTCTGCCATCTATAAAATCTTATGAAGATCAACAATTAACACATATAGTAATTTTGCTCCTCTGTGTTCTTTTACTTTGCATATTTTTTACTAACCTGTATTTTACTAGAAATTGATATTAATAATTTCCATGTTCGATGGATAGATATTTGATGTAACTCATTTCATATCTCTAATGCATTACACAGCAAGTCTTCCATAAAGACCTTCACATCTAGACTAGATGTTAACCTAATTCTGCCACTCAGCTTTCTAAAAAGTTTAAGAACATTAAACACAACAGTTTTTGTGAACATCATTTTTAACTCAGTCGATTTACACAGCAGCTCTTCCTAGATGATCCTTTAAAGAACGTGTGCATGAGGTGCATAATGTGTGGAAAGAAAAGAAACTAAGATGACGTTAACTGTCTCATTTTTCCTAGAAATCATTATAATGTGGTTTCCTCACTTACATAAGTTATATACTTCTGTCTGATCCAGACTTACAAAACAATGTATTTTAAAATTTGGTGTATAAATTAGATGCTATCTGCTACTTTTTGTTGACATAAAATTTGCTGTTCTTTAATAATTTAGCAGCTAAATCTTGTCATATTTTTATTGTATATTAAAACTGTATGACTATTATATAATGTATTCCAATCATTCATCTGATCAGGAAATATATAATTAGATATAAATACAATTAAGAATGACTTTCAATCGCTGGTGGCAAGTTCTAGAAAACCAACTGAAACAACTCAAAGCAACAAGTATTAACTCTCTGAATGTCAGTGAGGGTCAATGAAAGAACAAGTTTTGAGACTTGCATTAGCAAGGGTTCAGACTTTTTGTTTTCCTTTGTGACACAGTTCTGCTACATAGCACAGATTAGCCTGTAAATCATGATTCTTTTGCTTCAGTCTTCAAGAGTTCTGGAATTTCAGGTGCCTACCTCTAGGGCTATTCTAAGTGCCCAGATTCTATTTCCACTCTGCTATCTATATGGCTGTCTTCTGATCAAGGCTAAAACTATCCATGGTCAAACAATGACTACAGTAAAAAATTATTTCATAATCCTATCTAGAGAGGCAAGCCTGTTGGTGGCTTTTATTATTTTAAGATAAGGAGGAAATATTTTAATTCTCATTCTTCCCACTAACGCTGATCACATGCTCATTCCTAGATCAATCACTGTCAAGGACAATGACATTTTCCATAGTTCATGTAGATACATCTCACGAGCTAAATTTTCTAAGCTTATACTGCTACTACTCACCAGGAGGAGGTGAGTATAGACAGAAATATTATGTGTAGTCTGAAAAGATTCAAAAAGCTTTCATAATTTCTGCTAATTTAACAAATATGAAATGAGAATTCATGTTCCAGGCTCTGTGTGAGGTGATCGGGACATAATTACAGAAGACACAAAATCAAAAGTAGAGTATCATTAAGTAATTAGAAATTTATTCTAGGTACACAAAAAATTTGATGTTAGAAAAAAAGAAGCAGTTTGAATCAAGAGATATGTGAAATAGAGTCAATATGACTTAGTAATGACTGGGTACAAGAAATCAGGGAAGGAAGGTTTTGAAAAGTGATTCTAGATCTCTGCCTTCATATATAAGTCAACAGGTACCATTTCATGGTATCCACTGAAATGAGATATAATGGAAAGAGTATGACTGTTCACTGATGAAGGTTGTTATTTAAGAACATCCTGAGATTCACTCTAACCCTATGAGTGAATCACAAATTCTTCACTCATCTATTAGGAGATTCCTCTGGAGTTTGATCCCTGTTCAAAAACTTGAGATTTGGTATTTATATGACAAAGAAAGAAGGAAGAAGGGGTAACAGAACAGGAAATTATTTCTAAATTTTAGAAATAATTCCCTTCCCAAAAGAGACAGTAATCTCAAATCTGTATGTCATACATTCTCTATTTTATTATACTGTAATGGTAAAATAATTAAAATTATTGTTCTTCGCATATACCATTAAAGTATTTATGGTAGAAACTGAAAATAAAACAAGTTTAAACTTAAGCTTCTCTCAAATCTACATACATTCTTGACTATTTAAGAAATTGAGAATGTCTTAAAATAACCCATTTTCATGTTTCTAATTTTGCATTTTCAAATTTCAGAACTCAATTTTAAATAAAGAGTCACTCCTCCATTTCTACACACTCTAAACCCATGGACCTTTTTAATGAACGCAGCTGGAAAATAGGACTATAATGGCTAAATCTGACTGGTACTGAACATGTACAGGCCTGTAGTAATCTAGAGACAACTTAACTACACAGGAAGTGGTTACAGATGACATATAGGTCCTATGTTATTTTACATAAGGGGTTTGAGAGCTGAGCATCTGTAAACTCTGGTATCCAAGGGGGAGTCTAGAACCTATTTTTTTCTGGGACTGACATAGGAATGACTTCATTTCATTCTGTTGATACTTTACAAAAACAAATGTTTTAAAATGTCTAATATTTATTTTACTTACCTCTAAAAGAAAATCCCCTAAATACTGAATTGGATAAAATGGAGCCTTAAAGTTCTCTTGTTCTCGCTCAGCACTGATTCTTGCATTACTGGCAATCACATGCGTTATCCCACTTGGAGAACTTTTTGGTAAAATGACATTTGCCTTTCCAGCTTCCAAAACTCTAAATAAAAATGCAATGATGGGGGAAAAAAAAGCATTAGAAAAATTAAGTTCATTCAGTCAACTACCAGTTACTACCTTAGTGATAGGAAAAAACTTTCCTGGGTCACTGAGGAACCATGGAAAGTTAACAACTGCAATAATTTCTTAAAGCCTAAGATGTCTGGAACATATGTTTAAGAATTCTACTTCTCTCTCTCTGTCTCTCTCTCTCTTCCTTCCTTCCTTCCTTCCTTCCTTCCTTCCTTCCTTCTTTTGTTTTTTTCGAGACAGGGTTTCTCTGTGGCTTTGCAGGCTGTCCTGGAACTAGCTCTTGTAGACCAGGCTGTTCTCAAACTTGAACTCACAGAGATCCATTTGTCTCTGCCTCCGGAGTGCTGGGACTAAAGGCATGCGCCACCACTGCCCGGCTCTGTTTCTTTATATGGGAATGTTTTTATGAACCATGAATATTGAAGCAATTGACACGTACAAGTCATATCAATGAGAAAAAACAACAAAAAATATTTAGGGAAACAGCTACCCTGGAACGCAAAATACACCTCCAAGGAAATCAAAGTGAACCACAATGAATGAATGAATGAATGAATGAACAAATGAATGAACAAAACTAGCTGCCAAGACTCAACTAAAAAGTTGTTCTTTTAACATTTCTAGTCTTTGGCTAGGCTTGATGGCATAGAACTAGAATCACAGATTTGAAGACCCGAGGCAGAAGGATCTTAAATTTGCACTTACCCGGGGTGAAATGAATAAATACATACATTCTAAGCCAATCTGGAATATAAGTGAGATCCTGTCTCACAAAAGAAAACAAAAACCAAACAACAAAGTAGCAGGAATCACAGTAAACAGTGCTCTGGATGACTTTCAACATCAATGATCTAAATTCCCCCAATAAAAACACAGACTAACAAAATAGATTAGAAAACAGGATCCATCTTTCTGGCACATCCAAGAAACAACAACTAACCATCAAGGATAGACATCACCTCACGGTAAAAGAATGGAAAAAGACATTCCAAGAAAATTGATTCAAGAATCAAGCAGGTGGGGTCATTTTAATATATGACAAAATAGAATTCAAACAAACTAATTAGAAGAGATATAGAAGGGCACTACATATTCATTAAAGGATATCCACCAAGATGATATTTCAATTCTAATATATGCACCAACCCCAAGTTCATGAAAGAAACACTAAAACAGCTATATCCACACACTGACATTCAAATTATGGCAGTGGATTACTTCAGTACCCCACTCTCCCCAGTTGACAGTTCATCCAGACAAAAAATTAAACAGAGACATGCTGGAGCTACATGACACCATAAGTCAAATGGACCTAGCAGATACTCGTACAACATACTTTGACAGAAAGCAAGCCTCAACAGATAGAAGAAAATTGAAATAACACCTTGCATCCAATTTGACCACCAGGGTAAAGTTGCATATCAACACAGAAAGTATATAAGCTCACGGAAACAGAACTCACTAATGAATGAAAAGTGAGCCAAGACAGAAATGAAGATGGAAATTTAAAACTTCCTAGAACTCAGTTAAAATGAAAATACGTACTAAAAGGCAATTTCATAGCACTAGGTGCCTACATTAAAAAGTTGGGGAGATCTCACACTAGCAACAGACAGACAGGAAGTGAGATAGCTGGGTAGAAACAAGATATAAGGAGGGAGAAACAGGAATGTGCTCTCTTGTCTGCTGAGAAGCTAAGGATTTAAGGTGTGGCGGTGGCTTGTTCCTTCTCTCTGATCTCTCAGCATTTTCCTAAATATCTGGCTCTGGGTTTTTATTACTTAGACCACTTAACAAAGAAGAATAAAAACAAACTAAATACAAACCTAGGCAAATAAATGGAACAATACAGATTAATTCAAAATACTAAAATAAAAACTAGAATATCAGGGTAAGGTGGCCTATACCTGTAATACTAGCTTTCAGAAAGCCCAGGCAGGAGAGGAACAGTTCAAGCAGTCCCTGATACTAGACTTTATATTTACAAAGCAATAAAGAGGGGCTGAAGAGATGGCTCAGTGGTTAAGAGCACTGACTGCTCTTCCAGAGGACACGAGTTCAATTCCCAGTACTCACATGGCAGCTCACAACTGTCCATAACTCCCATTCCAGAGGATCCAATACCCTCATAAAGACATTCATTCATGCAGGCAAAAACCATGTACATAAAATAAAATAATTAAAAAACATTAAAAAATAAAAAGCAAAAACAAAGGCTAGAAAACACACAGAAGAAAAAAAATCTATGGAACTAAAAGCTTTATTTTGATGAATAAAACTGGCAAACCATTAACTACATTAAGAAAAAAGCAGTGAAGAGTCAAATGAATAAAAATACATAAATACAGACATTACAACTGATTCCATAAAAAACTCAATTACACACAAACCAATTGAGAAACCTAAAACAAATGGACTAAACCCCTGTACACAGATGAACCATGTACAAAATACCTTAACTGACCAGTAACGAATAATAAAATCATCAATATAAGTAAAAGTCCAGACCCAAAGCATCACTTGTTTCCTACCAAACATTCAGAGAACTGGTGTCAATTTTTCTCTAACTATTTGAAAAAGTTGAAGAGTACATTCTTCCAATCACATTCTACAAAGGCAGTATTATTCTGTTACCTACATCAGACAAGTACAACATAGAAAGAAATAAATGGTATTTCTGGAGGCATTTTGTCTCAAATTGCTTTGTTTGGGTATTTTTTTATCTTACTGTTTTGGTTTTTTTTGCTTGTATGTTCTGGTTTTTGTGCTGTGTATGTTTCTCTCTCTCTTTTTCTTTTTTGTTTATTTCTGCTTGCTTATTTTTAAAAGGAAGGGCTTGGAGTTGGGTGGGTAGAGAGGCAGGGAGGCTATTTGTGGAAGGAGAAAACATGGTTAGAATAGAGTGTATGGAAATCTTTTGTTTTGTTTTTTCCAATAAAACAAAACAAAAACATTTAAAAAACAACAACAGCAGCTGGGCAGTGGTGGCACATGCCTTCAGTCCCAGCACTTGGGAGGCAGAGGCAGGCGGATCTCTGTGAGTTCGAGTCCAGCCTGGTCTACAAGAACTAGTTCCAGGACAGGCTCCAAAGCCACAGAGAAACCCTGTCTCAAAAAACAAAGCATAAGGCATATACTACAAAACTACAAAAATTACATGAATTAATAGCATGAGATAAAATAATAAAATATTATTCAGATACTGAAATTACTAGGAAGTAATTTCAAGGATCTAATGAAAACTGGTAGGAACACATACCAAGAGACTGTAAATTAGAGATCACTGGAAAGGATCAAAATAAACTGCAGTGTATCAGAGAAGAATTCCTGATATAGCCTTATCAATGGAATGGACACAACTGTGAAGATAGAAAAAATACAAAACAAAACAAAACCCCCAAGAATTCTACAGTATATACAATGGAGTTCCAGGGGAATATCACAGGAGAAAGAAAAATATAAATGATAATAGCTAATAAAAATGAAAATCCCCAATAAGCAAAATAAACCACCAACAAAATAATGCCCCCTCCCAACACACAAATTCAAATTGCTCAAAACCAATGGTCAGGAGAAAAATCTTGAAGGAAAACAGATAAAGCATATACAAATAAGCAAAGAATGACAACTGATTTCTCATCAAAACCATACAAGATTGGCAAGAATAGATCAGACTAATAACTGAAAGTGTTTGTATGGGGGGAGGGGTTCTCTGCATGCATGCCATAATAATCAACATAGAAAACCTCTGTGCTTTGGGAATGAATGTAGACTTCTTTATTATCAGTGAGCAAGCAACAGTTTTGGAGAAGCAAACACTACCCAGGTGCCTTTACCTGCTAATAGCATCACATTCCATAGATTGAGAGTTCAGACCCCAGGACTGTACCCTTACCCACTTTGTATGCCAGTGTCTTTTAGTTACTATCATATACTATGATGAAACACCATAACTAAGGCAACCTTTTTTTTTTTCTTTAAACAAAAACAATTTATTTGGGGACTTGCTTACGGTTTCAGAGCATTGGTCCATGACCATCACGGCAGGAAGCATAGTAACAAGCAGGAAGGCATGGCTGAAATTCCACATCTGATCCTTAAGCTGAAGGCAGGGAGAGAGAGACAGAGACAGACAGCACAAACACACACAGTGGGCCTGGGGTGGGATTTTGAACCCTCAAAGACCACATCTTGTAATCTGTCCCTGACAGTTTCACTAACTAGGGACCAAGTATTCAAACATATGACTCTAAGGCGGGCTTTCTTATGCCAACAATCACAGCCAGTATCCCCCAGCCCACGATGTTTGACCTGTGATTCTTACTGTCTATTAAACGTGGGTTCCTTTGGCTCTTAGAACCAAGGAAAATATAAGGCAGACTACCATAAAGGAAATTACAAAGGACAGAGATGAAGAGCTGTATAGGGAAGGCATATGGGAAGGGGCCCAGAGCTTACAAACCTTCTCCACCTTTGTGCAAGTATTCCAAACATATCATTTTAGGTTTTGCTTATTGGAGGATTCATCAACTAATGGCTATTATCTAAGAGAAAGGGTAACAAATTCCAGTAGGATGTGAAGAAAAGGATCCCTAATTACTGTTGGTGGGAGTAGAATAAGCACAGCCATGGAAAAACAGTATAAAGATTATTCCAAATATTAAAGAACTAGCATATACTCTATACTACTGAATATAAATTCTTAAGATATGAGAATTGTATCTTAAAGAGGTATACTTCCATATTTATTATAGCACTATGCACAACAGCCAAGATAACTCAAATGCTCACCAGCTGATAAAGAATATGAGCTATATCGCCGGGCGTTGGTGGTGCACGCCTTTAATCCCAGCACTCTGGAGGCAGAAGCAGGCCGATCTCTGTGAGTTCGGAGCCAGCCTGGTGTCCAGATCGAGTGCCAGGATAGGCTCCAAAGCTGCACAGAGCAACCCTGTCTTGGAAAACCAA